TAAACTTTTATACAATTAATTTTCGAGTTTCGAACATCAATTCGAAGTCGGATTTGAGTGAAACTAGTATGGTTGGACTCGTAATTGAATGGGTTGTTGAATTTTATGACTTCGTTGGATTCCGAGGTGCGGGCCCAGGTTTGACTTTTGGTTGACTTTGCCATTTTGATTAAAGATTCAACCTTTATAATTTGAGATTATTTCATTAGGCATTATTTGATGTTATTGAGTTGCTTTTGGCTAGTTTCGAGCCGTTCGGAGGTCGGTACGCGCGGGATGGCATTTTTGGAGTATCGGTTGGCTTGTTTGGTATTGGATTCGGCTTGTTTGAGGTAAGTAACACTTCTAAACTTGGTGCTTATTGTATGATCTCCTGAATATACGTGATATGTGTTTGGTGTTTGGGTGATGTACATACTAGGTGACAGACGTATGAGCGTGCACTGTGTGAATTGTGACTCGGTTATTTCTCTGGTATTGTGTAGTTACCTAATCTTATTTGTAACTATGAAATCTCTACGCACTATAGTAATTGAGCTATGATCCATGTTAGAAACCATGTCTAGGCTATATGTTCATCCGGTTGGGATCCACCGAGGTGATTTCTGCTGTAGAGTTATTTGCTTATATTGCAATTACATACTCAAACATATGCATTCATTTGCATATCATATCTCGGTCTCTATTACCATTTATTGATACATCACATCATCATTTTTGGGCTAATTTTCATGACATTGTGAGCCCGAAAGACTGGAGAAATTGATGAATGAGTAAGGCCGAGGGCCTGATTGTCAGGATATTGATAGGATCGGGCTGCACGCCACAGCAGGTATTATTGATTCATGATGGGATCGGACTACCCACCACAGCAGGTATTATTGATTCATGCCATGATTGGCTTATTATAGTGCTTGAGTTGGATCTGCCCCTCTAGAGTCTGCACACCCACAATGAGCGCAGGTACCTATTGAGTGCGATTGCAAATGCGAGAGCTAGTGCCGAGTGATTGGGAGGACTGAGTGACAGTGAGGATTCAGTAACTGTGAGGACTGAGTGACTAGGAAGACTGAGTGAATTGATACTCTGAGAGTATGCATATGGTTTTATCACTATGTTGCATTGCATTCGACATGCACACTTGACATACAGACATAGAGATGCATTTTCCTTATGTTGTTCGGTATTATATAAGTAGGTATTTCACCAACTTATCTTGTCTTTAAGCATACATTTTTGCTATGTTTGAGTGATAAAATTATGTGTTTAATTCCATTTACTTCTATATTACAGGTTCTATGTGATTTAGAAGTGATCTTGAAGAAACCAAGTGAATCGAGTAAAAAAGAAGCTAAAAAGAAGAAAATCTGGAAAGGAGCCTTAGTTGTCGCAATTGCAACACATTTTTGGGAAATGCGAACAAAGCAGTCATGGGAATTGCGAGTGGACCGTTGCAATTGCGAAGGAAGATCAATCAGGCAGTATTTACAAATGTGAAGAAGACTTTGCAAATGTAAAGTCAACCCAGGCAGTCAACCTTCGCAAATGCGAAGTCTTGATTACAAATGCGAAGGTCAACAGTATGGTCATAGTTCGCAAATGCGAAAATCGTGCTTCAGTTCTGGGTAATTATGTCATTGCACATTTTTTGTCCCCAAACCCTTTAATACCCAAACCAGCTCATTTGTAAAATATCTTTTGGCTTATTTTTAGTCTTAGACTAGAGAGAACAAGGTTGGAAGCTAGGGTTTATGCATTTACACTTGAGTTTTGAAGATTTGAAGATTGTGGTTAAGAATTTCTTACTCCCTTGTACTCATTTCTTCATTTTCTTGCTTTGTATTGAACATCTAATTGTATATTATTGTATTCAACACTTGAATCTTGTTTATGAAAATAATTATATTTAAAGTGTGGATTAAATACCTTGTTGTGCTTATGTATTGAATGATTTTTATCCTTTTATGAAGTGAGTTATTGTTGCTTTAATTATTATTATTCTTTAATATTTCGAAAGGAATTAGCTAACCCTAGGACTCGCCCATTAACTCCGAATTAATTTTGGGAAAGATTATTTGGGGTTGGGAAAGATTAATTAACAAGAACTTGAGGCTTTAACCCTCATTTTATAGATTCTACCTAGGGATAGGATTGAACTACTTGTAGCCATATCCGGGTGTGCTTAATCTCCTAATTGTTTTAGGGATAATTCAATTGGTAAGTTTTATTAGTCTTTGAAAGAAGCTAATATAGAATTATTACCCGTGGTTAATTAATATAAACTCGCTCATATTTGTAAAATCGTAAAATACATTGGATCGTTACTTGAGTGTAATTCCCGATGAATCCATCCTTGTAGCCATTTATCATTTTACTTGCTTTCTAGGTTAGTTTACATTTTCGCATTTAGGTATAAATCTTTTCTAATACCAATTCTAAGTGTTTGGCATTGCATAACAAGTGATAATTCTCTTACATTCCTAATCGCCTACATATTATTCTCTGTGGGATTCGACCCCGACTCATAGTTGGGTAAATTATATTGCATGCGACCGTGTTCATTTACTTTTTAGTAGAGGATTTGGACGTCATCAAAATTGGCGCCATTACCGGGGAACAATTTGGCGTAATTTAGGTTGTTTGAGAAATAAGCGTAAGTGCATTGGTCCAAACTTGTGAATATTTGTGTAATTAAATTTTCTTATCTTGGTCTATTTTTCTTGTTTGTTTCTTGTTTATTTTCTTATTTTTGAAAAATGGCTTATATAATAAAAATTGGTCAGATGGTAGTTGTTCATACTTTGATGACCCTTGTCTTTATTGTGGAGGACCACAGTCGTGGAAAAATTGTTTAAATTCTCCCGGGGTGGATTGTGCGCACAATTTTAAACCCATGAGTGGAGTACTTGTGAAAAGTGTGGTCGCCAAAATGGTCGTTGGGAGTATTGTGCTTATTTGTCCTTCCCTTCCCAAGCCCCCGCTATGATGATTCTACTTTTTGTGATGAAAATGATAAGGCTATGAAAATGGAAGAAGTTGAGCATGGTCAAAATGGAGAGTTCAAGCTCATGTTAGAATGTCTAATTGAAGGAGGAAACAAAGAACAAAGTGCCTTGGAGGAGCTTTTGGAAAATAGTCTCCCAAATGACTTGGCACTTGAAAGGTTGAATTTGCAAATGGGAGAAATGCTTGAAGCTTTAGAGGTCCAAAAAGCCTCGAAAGTTAATGATAGCCAAGAATTTTCCTTAGACATGGAAGCCGAAAATCCTTCCTTGGCAATTGATCAAAACCAAGAAGAACTCTCAAATGCTCAAAATGAGAAGATGGTGCACATGTTGGAGACCATTCTTGCAAATGAGGAGAAGCACAACTTTGCACTCGAGGACTTGAAACAAAGCTTGACTCACAATGATGAACATATCCGTACTTCGGAAGATCAAATGAAAATATTGGTCGAGGCTCACTATGCCCACCAACTTGAGAGTGTGGAAGGAAGTCAAGAAGAGTCCGATTTCGAGGAAGAAAGTGAGCTCTACTTTGAGGAATAAAGAATTGAACATTCGCCAACCAACTCAATGAGTGTTAGTGATGCCAAGAAAAATATGGAATTAGAGTCAAGCGGTGTAAATGAAAATATGGTTGAGATTGACTCTAGTCCGGGGGACAAAGAGGATGTCAAAATCGGGGAAGAATTGCAAGATGTTGCATTCCAAGCATTTTTTAACATTGGAATTGTGTGGTGATATGGGAATTGAACTACATGAGTCAATGAGGGATTACGAGGAGAAAAGAGAAAAACCACACATCTTACAATTTGAGGGAAAGAAGGCAAAATGACATTCCTCACATGAAAGCCAAGATGTCACGACTCATTTTCTGAACAAGCCGGGACCGACACTCGATCACTAAACATGACCGAGCGAACCATCTCTAGTTATCAAATTTATTATAACTCCAAACTTTATATGCAACAAGGCAATACTCTAATCAAATACTTTTGATTAATTTAAATATTTAAATAAATCAACTCCAAAACTTTATTTGTAGTAACTACTGAATTATTGTTAAGTTATTATCAAAAACATTTGAATCTTAACCTGATGACTATGTCTATGAAGCCTCTACTGATAAACTGACGCACTGCTCAGGACATGAGATTTCCTGGCCAGTTCTCTAAGTAAACATAGAAATAACAAAATAAAGATGACTCAAAGGAATACTCCACGAACAAAAGTGGAGCTCACCAATAGCACTAGAAGAGAAGGAAGTCCCAACCCGTAGCCTGCTCGCCTGCAAAACCGGTTCCTATATTGTACCGCAGACCAACGTAGGTTCTCAAAAGAGAACGTCAGTACCATCCATTATACTCAGTGAGTCTCAACAACAGGGGGAAAAACTTTAATAACATATACATTACGAGCAAAGGTTCTAAATGCATGTAAAACATAAAGCTTATAAGAATAATTCTAAAATAATTGCATATTAGCAGTTTATGAATATTCTAAAAGAAATTCTTTTCTTATTCAAAAAAATACTTCTCTTTATACTTTGGGAGTTCCAACTATTCTGACCTATTTCTGTCTTAGTCACCGTGTGATCGGCACGGGTTCGATCCTAACTTGATCGAATAGGCCCAATCCACGAGGTGTCACTCGTTTCATGGTTCTCAGCGCTCATATATCATACCTTAGCCTGGCTAAGTGATACTCAGCAACGAGACCCTCGGCTCGTAAGCTCCCTACTTTGGCACAAGTAATTTCAGGAAGTCAATGCCTTGGTCAGGACCCTCGACCTGGACGATGACCTCTTCTCAGAATAAAGGATACTCCCAAAAATCTTTTTTTCTAAAACTTCTTCTTGTGACTTTTCAAGTCTAAATCTTTCAAACATATTTATTCTAGAATTCTTAAATGTAAGGTATGGCATAAGAATGAAATAAACATTCAAAATTATTTTTAAATATTCTTGCTTTTTCATGAATTTTCAACATGAAAATGGCATATAAGAATAACACAAAAATCTGAAAATTTATGCACATATATCAAAATAAATCATCTAACTTTAACTAAAATAATTCTAAGCTAATAGGAACTCACTCACTTCAATTAAGTACATATTCACTCTTTTAGCCAATTCATCAAACACCTTGTATGCATACTTTTGTGAGTTAAACCACTTTGGTAAAAGGTTATATCAACTCACCTCAAACCTTCTCAAGCCAATACGCAGGCCCCAGTCCAATTGACACTAGTCAAACAATCGATTCTACAACAACCAATGCATTTTAATTAATGTTAAAGTTTCGCACCTAAACACGGAACTTTACTGTTGATATAGAAAAAGAAGGGAATTAACTATTCTATTCTTACCTATTACTATTGTAGAGTAATTGACAATAGGGAATTTTATATACCTGAGTCCAAGAATTAGTTTTGTATAGAACCCTAGAATTTTCTTTTCGTTCCTGTGTGCCTTGCGATTGCTGCGTAAAAAAACAGCGTTCTGTTTTTGTTTTTTGGTATAAGGCTGTGTTCTGTCTTTTTTTGGTATAAGACTTTGCTTAAAGTCTTGCATTCCACAGCCCTTTATGGGCTAGGCACGTGCTCCCCTTTTTTTTGTTTTGTTTTCCTTTTTTTGTTAACTTAACTAATAATTAATGATACCCACCTTTAATAATTAACCATATTAAAACTATTAATATTTTTCTAATTGTATATCCAATTTATATATANTTAACTCTATAATCAGCGTGTCTCGAAACTTTTATAAATTTGAGGAGTGTTACACAAGAAGTGAAAAATGAAGAAATTAAGTCTTGGTTTGATCATCTACTTATCACCCCCACCGCTCGTGGTCACAAGCTTGATTCCAAGTTGGGTTCCCAATTCATATCATCAAAGTGGCGAGAAAAGTGGTAAAGTGACTTGCATCATGCCACGACATTAAATGCGGCGCTTGGTGGGAGACAACCCATTGTTTTTCAAATATTTTGGTCAGTTTTGAAAATTTCCTTTTTAGAATAGCTTATTATATTGTTTCTAACAAATCTGTCAAGTTTCATAATTTTTGGAGTTGATTTGAGTAGGTTGGGGCGATGGAGAGTACGAAAACCAGAAGCTAAAAATTGCAGGGGCACCAGGCATCGCATTTGCGAACTTGACCCATCGTAAAACCCAAGATTTGGTCACATTTGCGACAACTGCAGGATTCACTTAACTTCGCAATTGCGACATCAGAGAGCTTAAACGGGTAAACTTGTTTCACTTTGAACAAAACTTAGAAAATTTGAGGCTCTTCAAAAGACCATCTTCCCACTCTGCTTATTCTCAAAGTCTACCATTTTTAACTCCTAAGTGCAAGAATTCAGGTATGAAAGCTTAATCGCTTCTTCTTCTTCTTCTTCTTCTCTTAGTATTTTCGAAAACCCTAGGTTTTCAAATGGGTAACATTCCTCTGCCCGGAATTATTTAAAATTTGTTCAAATCTTATGTTGATTTCTGAGTGATGTTGGTTGAGAGTGTGGATCTTGTTCTTTGATTGAAAAAATGAGGAAGTCTAAGTACCTAGGGCTTTGTAAACTAGAAGTGATTTTTTGTGCTTCTTATGTGATCGATGGAAGGCCCGAATGAGATTCTTGGCCAAATCATTGATATGTTTGTAATTTATGGTCGTCTATGAAGTTTATTGCATGAATCTGTGTTTGAAAATTGCTTGGGCTCTCTTAAGTTAGCCTTTGTTCAAAAGTTTTTAGGGCTTAGGACTATTCTCTGAGAAATGAGAGGCTGGGGACGACGATATCGCAATTGCAATGCCTCTTCGCATTTGTGAGCTTCGCATTTGCGAAGAAGCGGTCGCAATTGCGAAAAATCTCAATTCTAGCCAACTTCGCAATTGCGAAAATTTCATCGCAATTGCGACCCTATCAGTGTTTTGTATTCTTCGCATTTGCAAAAAAATTTCCGCAATTGCGAAGATTTTGTCGCAATTGCGACATCAGAGAGCAGGTCCCTGAAAATTTCAAAATTCTAAAATTTTTTCTAAGGCTGGGTTTTGACTGTCCGATCATTCCTTTGGCATATTTGACTCATTTTGCAATATTCTTCATAGTCATACCATGTTTTCACTCCTATCATTTGTTGACAGGTACCATAACTGAAAATGAGCTCTAACTCTGAAGGATCCGCAAATGACAACCCCTTAGAAGCTGAGGGGAACTATGACCAACACCAGTTCTCGTCATTGGAGTGCCAAGAATTGTAGTTTGCTTAACTGATCTCGAATAAGTTGCTCCCGGAGAGTGGTATACTGCTGGACAACGTCCCTGAACGCCTTCCCGAGTTCTACCAAAGGCTGGTAACCATGGGATGAGACTATTTTTCCCCTCAACCTTGTCGAGCCAATGAGCAATGTGTGAGGGAATTTTATGCCAATCTCCCATCTATCAGGATAAGGAAGCCAAAGATGAGAATTCGCGGTAAAATGGTGCACTTTGGAGCTGAAGCTGTGAATCAAGTGCATCACCTACCAGACCACGACATGGCCCCATTCCATGCAAAAGACTGTGTCTCAGGAGAATGGTTGGTGTACAAATTATGCCCGGGTGCAGATGTTCCATGGTCAGCTGAGAAGAGAGGGATCACATCCAAAGAGTTCACTGCCGAAGAAAAGATATGGCTGGCCATCATATGCAGTCGTATCTCCCGTGTGTCAAATATATGGAATGTACCGGCTATAAGAGCTCAAATGATAGCATGCATCCTTGATGGTATTCAGCTAAATGTTGGTGAAATCTTCATCAATGAACTGAGGAAGTATCAGATCCAAAATAGTACATTATTGATATTCCCATCACTTATCACTGAGCTGTGCCAACTTGCTAGGGTGGAAGAAGCTTTGGGAGACAACTGGGTAGAGCCGGGAAAGCCTCTAAATCCATTGAATAAAAGAGGAGAGGGTGGTGCTGTGAAGAGCAAAAAGAGAAAGATAGGGTCATCTTCTCAGATCGATCAGAGTAGTCAGCCATCATCTTATGCAAGAGGGCTATTTGCTGTGCTTACTGAGGAAATGCGGCTAATTCGTGACCTAGTAGCTCGCCTTCCATAGGGACCTGGGGAAACATCTGAGGGACCCGCTGCATACATTACAAAGAAATATTTTCAAAAGTATCTTGATGATCAAAGGAAATAGGGGGGTCGCCTTAAGACACTGGAGAAGGCATACACTGATCTAGCCAAGGCGCATGGTAAGTTGAGCAGTTCTCATGACACTCTGGCAAAGGCACACACCAAGATGAAAAAAGGGAGAAGAAAAGAGACAAATTCTTTACCCGCATGTGGAAGGGTGTAAAGGGGTTGTGGAAAGTCCTAAAGCCTCAAGATCCAATGCTATCGACCAGGCCGGTAGATGATGATGATGTTCTAGTTGATTGGTTCGAGGAAGAAGGAGAGGAGGATGCCTCTGAGTCAGACAGCGAGGAGAGCACCTGATCCAGTATTCAGGGAGCACTTTCCACCATTTTACTCTATTATGTTTAGTTGCATTGGAGACATTGAAACATCTTTAGTCGGGGGTGGCTTCTTGTATGACTGTTGTTCTTGCATAAATGTGGATAACTCTGGATATGGCATATTGGTACTTTAGTTGTTTTCATTTTGATGTTATTGTATTTTCATGTGATGTGTTATATTAGTATGTTTATAAGCTTCTTAAATTCTTGTTTTTATATATAGCATGTTTTAGTTACTTGATGTTTATTAGCTTCTTAATATTTTTTATTAGATTCTTAATTTTTTGGTATACAATATATTTTATTTTAGTGGCGATATCCTTGATTTTCTTTGTACCGCGGTTCTTTTTCCGAGGATGCCAATTTTATTCTTGAACCGGGTAATTGTTAGTAAATTTTTGTCGACTTTTCCCGATGATGGATAGCTTGACGACTTTCTTAAGGTAATTATTCTTGTAGTTTAGATATAGTTTTTGTTAATTTAGGAAGAATAAGTGATTTGAGTGGGGTATGAGCCCATTGGCAAAGTTGTGGCTTGCTTGGTACCAACACAACTTAAACCTCGATATATGAATTTTTTATCCTGGAAAAAGAAAAATGATTGAAGTAAAAGAATCATTATCATGACTTTTAGACTCAATTTTTGGCTCTTTGATTCACTACATAGCTTTTTGGGCTACATGAAACTTCCTTGAGATTCATTGGTTTGAATTGGATTTTAGATTTGTATTCCGCTTGATTTTTCTTGTGCCATGTGTGGTGAGACTTATGGTAAAGTTCGTTTGCATCATTTGTAGTCTAGAACTTGCCCGGTTAGTTTTTCAATGCTAAAGTTAATTGTGTTTGGTTGGAGGGATGACCTTAGGCATTCTTTGTGATCTTTGAAAAAGCCTTTTTAGCCTTTCAAGCATACCATTGCATAAATAATCACTAGTTTCCCCCCATTTGAGCCTTTAACCTTTTCTTTGGCCACCTCGTTACAAAACTTTACCCTTTTATGAAATAATTTCCTCCTTTGTACCCCTTCCTCCTTGAATATTGAGAATGAGGCTAAAAACCTAAGCTTGGGGGTGTTGGTATCAAGTTGGAAAATTGGTAAGGTTGTACATTGAGTGGAGAAACATATACCTCAAAGTTTCCTTATGAAATTACTCAAGCTCCAAAAGAAAATATCTATACCAAAAAAAATCTATGTAGATATATAAATATGGAGTATTGAGAAAATAAGAGAGGTGTTTTAAGGTGGCTCTATGTTGATAATTACATGCCAATAAGGGCTATGTGGTTTTAAAAAATAAGAAGCAGAGTGCAAAAAGAAAGACAAATGTGATTAGTGTTCAAGGAGGGTGTAGTCACTTGTATCCTAAATTCTCCAATCCTTCCCTAAACCTACATTACAAGCTCAAAAAATTCCTTATGGGACCTCCAACCGAATATTCTTGAATAGGCGACGAATTAAAATAAGGGCAAGCCAATGGCACTACTTTTATGCATCTGAATATCTTTGTGAGAGTGGGAGCTTATTCTTTCCACTTGATATCTCATTTATGTTTTGAATTGCAAAGTATGAGTGTGGGATTCTATCTAAGTGTGAGGGCACATGAGATTTGAGTTGTGAATTTAATCCCATTTCCAATTGAGAGGAATGAACGAGGGAAGATAATTGTGATAGAGAGGCAAATTTTGAAGCTTTAGTGTCATGACTTGATTTTCTACTTTGATTTGCATAGTGTTTGAGCACGTGAAATGTAATGAAGTTCATGAGAAGTGTTCGGTAATTTATATGCTTTGGATTGATTGTTGGTACCAATCAAAGTCATGTGTTTGTGCTTATAGTAGACCTTTTTGGCTTGGCATGATAAGGATGCAATGTTGAGTTAAATACTTGGGAGGAGATTTTGTCACTTTCATTGCTTGAGAACAAGCAATCGTTTAAGTTTGGGAGTTTGATAATTTGTATTTTACCAACTTATCTTGTCTTTAAGCCTACACTTTTGCT